ATGAGTATATACAGTAATTTACAAAGTGCAATAAAAGTACCTAGCAGTTGCCTCACTGTTGGATACTCCAGGAGATCTAGAAGTAGTGGCATGCAATGCTCATTGCATAAATCGGTCCTTCAGAAATCCATAGAGCAGGCATAAAATTCATTCTGAATAGGGGAGACTTTTCTCTTAGTGTTTCTGTAGTTAATCAAAATACAATACTGGATGTAAATGTGCTTTCTCTATTGCTTGTGTTTCAGAATTGATTACCTGTGCTGCTTGTCCTAAGTATCCATAAAAGCTTTTTGACAAAACAAACAGCTATATGTCTAACTCATGGGGAAAATGCTGGGTATGCAGATGTACTCGGCACCATAGAACCAGTCTTATCTCCTTACAGATTCAGTGCATTAGCTAAGATATCACACCACACATGAATAATAATGCTGTAGCATGTCTCCTGTTTCAAGAGTAACTACTAGAACACATCTTCATTTGCCTACCCCAATACTGATATACTAGTCTGATTTTTGCAGAGGAACCACACATCTGGTGTACACAATTGTATTGGTGATAGTTTGACTAAGGCGGAGGATGAGTAAAATCACAGATGCTCTTTGACCCCAAGCCAACAGCCAGGAGTCAAATCAGTGAGTAAAATCTCACTGCCTTTCCTTTCAGGCTTCATTAGAATCAAAGCCCCTGCTAAAAACAAGGAGTACTTGTGGCACCTTAAAAACTAACAAATGTATTTGGGCATAAGCTTCTGTGAGCTTCATCAGGTGCATGCAGTGGAAAATACAGTAGGAAGATAGGTAGGGGGGTGTGTATATTAGACAGAACATGAAAAAATGGGTGTTGCCATACCAACTCTAAGGAGACAAATCAATTAAGGTGGTTAATTGATTAGTCTTGTGAGTTGGTATGGCAATACTCATTTTTGTGAGATGATCTTCCTACTGTATCTTCCACTGCATGCATCTGATGAAGTGGGTCTTAGCCCACAAAAGCTTATGCTCAGATAAATTTGTTAGTCTCTAAGGTGCCATAAGTACTCATTCTTTTTGCTGATACAGACTAACACAGCTACTCCTTCAAAAGCCCATACTGTGATTGTAGTCTAAACTGTTTTTGACTATCTACAATGTTACTGTATGTATCTTAAAAACTCAATCAGAGCTCAGTGAAGCTTTACACAACTTCAAAACTACCTAGAAAGTTAGGCTGAGTGTCTCTTGGACGAACCAAAGTCTAATCTTAAATGGCGCTTAAGCACCTAATTCCCTTAAGATCCTCTGAAAAATATCTTCCAGGTTGAGACCATGGTGGTCAAAACGGCAGATTACTAAACTTGCACCTTGTAATGATAAAACTTAGGTGACTGTAGTTGTAGTCCTTAACTTTTGTTGTTCCAAAGCATTTTACTCTTCATAAAATCTCTAATGAAGAGAAGTAGGTTGTTCACATTTTCGCCTGAACTCCACTCCAATGTAAAGTAACAGTTTTCAACATCCCTGCTTACTTTCTACTTAACTGGGAAAGGTCTGCCCTAATAAGACTTACAGGGGAAATTCTGACCAGCAGTAAAAAGTCCAAGATTGGAGGGGGGTTGGAATAATATATTATCTAATTTCATCATATACAAAATCAATTCCAGAAATTTCATGTTAGTCTTAAAATAGGGGTGGGGCAGCATTGCAGTCATTATTTATAAACGGGGTGTGATTGAAGGAGAACTCTAATACTGGCTGGAAAGCAATGTACACAATCATGGAGGGGTTGCAGTGTTTAATATTTCAATTTAACTGGCTTTCTTTTGAAACTTGCCCTCTTTCCATCTAGCTGAAGACTGCAGCCCAGATGTGGACAACTTCATTGTGCCCATAACAGTGGGAGCAGCTTTGGGAGGATTAGTTGCTCTAGTGCTTATGGCTTATTTTGTAAGCCACAAGAAACAGCGTAATGCTGGATATCAGCAATTTTAAATAGGGGAAAGTTTGTTTTTTTTTAAGCGGGTGGGGGGGAAATTGTCTCCTCTTAAATCTGAATGGCTTTCACAAATGGTTTCTTGAAAATGACATTGGTTTAATAAACAGTTTAATTTTTAATTAGGACAACAGCTGAACTTGACAACTCACCTTGAGTGATTTAGGCTAGTCCTTGATCAGACTAAAACTTGTTTCCATCTTCTGGACGTGGATGTGATGCTGCCAAAAACACTAATTCAGTAATTCTATGATCTATATGTACACAGTGCCTGTATGTGAATAAAGTTTTGTTCCTAAGCGCTGTGAATGGCACTTAACCAGTACTAAGTTTGCTGTGAATGTCAAGTATTAATGTATATAATCATACATTGCAATTTATTTTTACTACTAGTGATAGTGCCTTATATACAGTTTGTCAAATATTAAAGCTGTTGTCTGAATGACCCTACTAGAAAGGTTAAAACTGACTTTTGCAACTTAAAGATGCTCTGTATGTGCAGTTCTCTGGATATAACTTTTTGAGTGTGCCAATATAACTTGCATGTTCTGTACTTTCTCTGGATCATCTATTTTGTACAGCTGGTCTACAGAACAAAAATACTTCTAAGGATACTATAGTAGTTTGAACTACTAATTAATGGTGCTCATGGCTGTTTCCAGTGTCAAAAGCTGATATTCAAGAGAAAAGGGAAGATGGGTTGGTCTGGAACCTAACTCTGTACAGCCTTAATGTGAACTCACATGGTCAGTCTGCATAGCTTCCAAATTCCTCCATGAGAATATTTCCCCTTTCTCTCTCTGCAACAACAGACTTGCCATGATAAGTAGTAGAATCAGTTAGTGTACAACTGTCTATCTTTCAACTTGCAAACTTGGTAGCCACCAAGTGTGGAAAGGCTAGGTTCCCCAACCATTCTTCTTTGATCTGAAAGGGACCTCCCTCTGACAGAATTAAGGAGATGCTAAAAGTAGCTCAAACTACTGTGCTCTCCCTGCCCTGCTAATGTAAACTTAAAAATTCTACTGGTGGCTACTTGGCACCTTTCATCAGTATTGAATTAGCTTATTTTAGTATTAATGACTTTAGTATTCCTATGCACTGTTTAATGTTCAAGTCAATCAAAACTGATTCAAAGTAGCAAGTGACCAGTTGTCCTTCCTCCCTTGCATTGCTGAACTGCACAGTAGCAGCTTCTGAATTGGAATGAACACTGCTACAGGGGCTAGACTTTGTATTTGTATTTTGATTAAATTAAAGGGGGGAAAAAAATAGCTATAAACCCAGACTTTGTCCTAATGGATAAGTGGCAACTGGTTACTAGGTTAATATATCTGAGCTAAATTTGGCACAGTAACTCTTCTAAAGCAGTAGTTCTCAATCTGTTTAGCATCGTGGGTCACGTATACACCTCTCTGTATTGTGGGCCACACACGCACAGTACTACCTGTATGGCCCTGAGGATGACACATGGGCCACAGTTGTGTGCTGATTGGGGTGCAAGGGGCCTGCAGGCCATGGGTTGAGAACCACTGCTCCAAACAAAAGCTAATTCAATTTGACTCGTATTACTGGGCAGCGTCTTAAAGTAGTAAGTAGCTGCTGCCTTTTTACAGAGTGCTACATCTGTACAAGACGTCTTCTATTCAAGCATAAAAGCAAGCAAAATCCATTCTTCAGGAATCTCACCAAGCTTTAACAAAGCCCTCCACTTCAAAATCACACCACCTGGATTGGGGTGAACTAGGTTAACATGTTTATAAAAGTTCTTTAACTCATACTGCCTCTTGGGGGTGGTCATTAGGTTGGGGCATTGGACATGTAATTACTTAGTGCTGCTCTAGAGATTTATGTTTTCAAAGCAAAGTCAAACCACTTTTTCCTTCCAATAGTCCAGTGGGGTAAGTATTTCTCCCTACTCTACACACAGGGAAAGTGAGGCAGAGTTGTTGCATAACTTGCCTGACGCTTATAATTGGCGTCGGAGTCCCATGCTCTGAAAAAGGCCCTACTGACTCTGAATTTAGCATTTGTACCAGAGAGAAATTAAATAACATATACTTCAAAACTGTGTGCAAACCCGCTTTGTGGCATTATAGTGAATGTTTTTTTACAATGCTGTGTTTATTGTAATAAGAACTACATAATTCTTCTCTGAAAGCAATACCTCCATGACCTCTTTGTACTGAATGGATCAAAAAATAAAGCTATATGCACCAATGGTGTGTGTTTCAGTGTTTTCAGCTGCCCTGATATATTTTTGGTTGTCTTTTACAGCCTTTTCTACAGTGCTGCTTTCCATATTATCTATTTATGCTCTCCTTCTTTCCCATCCATTTCTGAAAATGCACAGTGGTGTCTGAGTGGATGAGAAATCAGGTGTTGTTTTTGGGGGGGGGGGCGGCGGTGTGGAATACATTTTGTCATTCTGGTGCTTTAATCCAGGTAAATTCTCCTAAATCCATATGGTGGTGATCAGATAGTGTGTCCTCTCAAAGTTAATACTTGTCCTGGGTTATGGGTGACATCAGTGGAGAGCCACAGATGGGGAGAGAGCAGAACATTGAAAGTGAATGCTAATGTGAAGATCTGAAAAGAGGTCTTTACCCTATGAGAGCCATATATGTGGCCAAATGTGATAGATTTTTTTTTCATAAACACTTCAAATGCACCCTCTGGCTAGAGGCAACCCAGTGACTATGAGCTAAATTGTCTAGAAGAGAAACAAAGAGCAATTAAATTATGCTAAGCTGTCTGGGGTGGTGAATAAGTGTTGAGACTGTAACTAATGTCCTGATCCAGAGAGATGTTAAACACGTGCGGCTCCTATTGAAGAAATAAGTTCTGGGTATTCTGTACCTATCAGGATCAGATCTAGAGAGAGAGGACAGGTTTTAAAAAAAAAAAAAAAAAAAAGTGGATGGGGTTTAAAATGAAATTGCAAGTGTCTATTTGCTCCCTGCTTGATTGGTTTCTAATGCATGGTTTCCCTACTAATTTCTTCTCCCTCACTCTTTTCTTTTCTACAGCTGAAGAATGCTTTGCAGATTCTGACCTGAACTTTCTTATCCCCATCGTAGTGGGTGTGGCGCTTGGCTTCCTTATCATTCTTGTCTTTATCTCTTATGTCATTGGAAGAAGGAAAAGTCGTACTGGCTATCAATCTGTGTAATCTTTTCATGCTGCCTCTGCTGCTTTTTTCCCTTTATGGAAGTTACTAGTTTATGGTTTTCTTTTGACTAGATATATTAAAAAACAAAGGATAATGTATTTGTGCATATGATTGTGAGAACAAATTTAGACTCACCTGAAGCTACTGTAAGGCTTTGGATTAAAGTAAAACTGCTCCAGGAAACACTTAAGATGAGGACCAATAACTGTCCCCTGCGCAATGTGACTGTTTGGCTGAAAAGGCCTAAGATAGGAATGCATCTTACTTGCAGCATTTTTAATCTCAATTCTTTTGCATAATATCACAGCTGGCGAGCGAGTTTCTATTTTATATGCAGCTACTCAATTTATTTCAGATAATGCTGAAGTTAAAAAAACACTGGTAGAGGATTGAATGCTGTGCAGCGAAGGATTGTGTGTTCTATTGGACAGAAATGCAAAATCCTTCCTAGCATTCAATTAGAAGCAAACTTACCACTGCTGCATTGTTTCTGTTTTTCATGTAGCTGCTTGTTCTCTGGGGTTAGCTTAAAGCTGCTTTTCCTGTTGCATTCGAAGGTGGTTCTTGATCCTACAGTACATCACCCAGAAGTTCCTTCTCTTAGTAACTAGTGTACTTAATATCAGCATGGAAAGGATTATCTTTGTAAGAGGGGAGTGGGTGAGACCTAGTGTAACAACTTACCCAAGAAGAGAAGAACCTGACCTTAGTGAACAGACTTAAGGAGGACTGCTACTAGTTGTAGGTATCCTATGCGGCTTTTATTCAAAGAGGACCGTGATAAGCATCTTCTGTTTGCTAACCAAAAGGTTCTTCTGCTTCCTGACTTTAATTGAGCCTATGTTTGGGAAAACTTTGAGTTCACTGGGTCTAAGTTTTCATTCTGTCTGTGTAATCTAGACCTCTCAGCTTGTATTTCAGTTGAAGGAACTGGCCTAACTTTAAACCTGTCATTAACTCCACAGAGGTGTGCTCTTATTCTATTTTCCAAAGTAGTCAGTATGCAAAATGCTGATTGTAAAGGATAAGGTTATAGAAAACCACAGTAAAAGAAAGTGACCCCACCAAAGAATGGGATGGTATGATGGATCCAGTCAAACTCCCTCCCCTGTCATTAATATTGTCGTACACTTTGAAGGCCTATGTTCCACATCTGGGCCTTAGCAGAATGGAAGCTAGTTATTTTGGATTAAATTCTGCCACTCTTGAATGGGTACATTGGGACAGGAGCATCTTCTGCCATGGACCCCTTTGATGCAGACCTGCAGAAGCTAATCCTACTATTATTGTGCTCTCTTTTATGCTAGGCCATGTGACTAGCTGAGGTGCTGGCATCATCTTTGCATGGCTGTTAGTAGCTGGCAGTAGGCAATGTGGGAATGTGTTCAGTACTGTTCTGCAGCATGCGTTTAGGATGTTCCTGAGCCACTGCGGGGGCGGACTGCTGTAGAGCACCTCCACCTCATTTACAGATGAGTGAGAGCATGATTTGGGCCTTCATTTTACAGATTGTTTGGGTCTTGGAGGTGGATGAGGATAACTGGGCTAATTAAGTCTTTAGTTTTTCAATTACTGGCTCACAGAATGTGTGTTCAGCCATGTGTGGGTGAGCCTAGTGTCATAAAGAGAAAACCCATGAAGTAAGCTGCGATGTTCAATCAATACGATATAGGAGGATATGGCACGGGGGGTGCCGAATGTAAATTAGAGCATGTAACAATTCACGCTCAGTGTGGCTTTCTTTAGAAGCATAGCTGCCTTTAAAAAACAAAATTTAGTAAAAGCACACATAGGCATAGTCTACAAGAGGTGTTCAAATAGATTTACATTTGAGTGACATTGGGCATGGAAGATTGTACAATACTGACTTTCATTTTAAAGAAACGCTGTTTAGACTTCTATCACAAAAATTGCTTTGGTCCTGTTCTGACTGCAGGATCAAACCTAAGCTGTAACTGCATCTTCCAACGGGACAAAAATAGGGCCCTCTACAGATGTGATTCTTTCACGATGGGGACTTAATTTAAGCCCAGTGGGTTGGGTTTTTGTCTCCCATTTTTAACTCTTGCTTTCCATGAGTGGGGGAGTGCTAAATGGGCTGCTCTGGGCCTAACACACATGCCCCTCAAAGCATGTCACCTCCACCATGCTATGAGGTGGGTTCTGTTCCTGCTGTGCTATTCTTCACACATTGCATCCTTTTAATCCAGCTGGGTGACTTTAATAATAAAGTGCAGCAAAAAATAAAAATTAAGTGCTATTTTGGACTTCATGAGAAGTCAAAATTAAGCAAGCACTTTATAAAGTTGTTGTAGAATGAAGAGTGATATAAACATGGTTCTCTGAATTTGCAAAAGACTGTACAAAGTGCTGATGAAGACAGAGCATATATATTAAACAAAGTTAACTATGATGTTTGTCTAGTTTTGCTCAGTGTTAATACTCTTGATAGAGATGAATGCGAATTTGAACGCTTTACCTAAGGGGCTGGTGTGGCATGAGTTTCAATGGCTGTGAAACCTCAATCACCTCTTGCTCTCCTTCACTCCATGCTCCTTTCAGGTAAGGACTGAGGCAGAGGCCAGGCAGGTGGCATTTGTGCTGCCCTTGGTTGCATGTTCCACAATCTGTGGATAACCAAATTTAAAAGGAGGGAGAGTTATTAAAACTCTGAGCAGGAGGGATGGTAACAATATTTAAATGCTTTTCTCATAATGGTAAGCAGTAGATGTTGTAGACAGCATGCTGTTAGATTTTTAATATAAAGAAAAGGTCTTTAGCCTGTGGTTATGAATGAAAGAGACTTCTATGTACATGCTGTCTATGGCCCTGGCACTTTAGACTTCTGAGCCCTTCAACTCCTATTGGAGTTAATCAGTTAATCAGCAGGGCTCAGCACTTGGCAGGAGTGGGCCCTATACTTCTTCCGAGTCCCGTCTCTTTAGCTTAGCAACGAAACGTGCAGCAGTTATAAAAAGTGTTCACGCGTCAACACAATTGCCAATAAAATTCTGATTGCTGTATCTTTATTACTCATGAAAGCCTGGGATGTACAGCGAACACAGCTTGATCTTCAGATACTGGGGGAAGTTTCTAATACCCTTGCCTTGAAAAGTCTTGTTCTGACCTGTCAACTACCCTAAATTTCTGGGTGTTATTAACAGATGCCTCACTAAATGTAAGTGATTGATTGAAGTAATTCTGCATATTTAGAAGATGGCAGAGAGACCACCATTTTTCACCTGTAAGTACTAAAGCTAGATATCTATATGGATAAATATTTAGGCACCTAAGTTCCTTGATTTTTCAGAGGTGTTGAGCATCCATAAATCCAGTTGATGTCTTGGGAGTTGTGGATGCTCATATTTAGATGTCCGAATGTGGATTTAAATGTTTAAACACCCAGGTTTGAAAACTTTGGTCAAAGTTACTATCACACAATGGTCTGTCTTCTGCCTGGAAAACTAATGAAATTACACCTGGGGTGATTTTGTCCCATTGTGATTAAATCCCACTCCCCTCCCACAAGAGACTTATTGTGTTTAAAAAAAAAAAAATGTAGTGGTGAGGGCCCCGTTCTAAAGCTCAAAACTCAGTAACCGGAGTGAACGAGCCTGCTCCAGGTACTCTCTCAAGCCTGTAAAATCTGGACCTAAGGAAATGGGCTGAGTGATCCCGTTCACCTCACATACCATAGATTGTACTAATGTTTTTTAAAAATCACTTCTAAATGGGCCAGTGAAATGGAGACAGTGCAAACTCACTCTCCACAGTATGTTGTATGGCTGTAACAAGGGTGGCCTGCACTGTAGAGGTGGCCATAGTGAAGGCTGTGTCCTGTTCCCAGGGTGGGTTCTCCAACCACGCTGACATGTGGATGGCCATAGAGTCTTCATATTAAGACTAAGGGTTGAAAAAGGACAGATGGGTAAATTGTCACAGCACCAGACACTGGCAATAATCAAGCTCCAATTGCTGGTGTGAGAAGGAGATCATAATGAACCAAGAAATATTTCCTCAAATGCATAGAGCATACACAATCTGGTAGTAGCCAAGTAAGAAGCCCACACACCCAGTCCTTAGGCTTCTGTGCAGGAGATGGAGGAGAGGAAGTACCCCCTGTTGCAGTGACTCTTCTGGCCAATCTAGGAACCCAATGACTTCCATGTAGCCTGTAGGAACAGTTGTGCTGGCTTGCAAAATGATTCCCAGCTCGTCTCCAGGAGCAGCACTCGTGCATCCCAGGAAGAGCTCATTCAGCCCTCTTCAACTGCAGTGAAGGTTTCAAATCCATGTGAAATCTTCCTGTGAGGACATCTGGGGTAAGTGATGCAATCCTCTGTGCGGGGTGTAATGTTACAAAGGTTCTTTTAAGACACTCTGTCTCAAAAAGAAAGTGACCACGTGTTTCTCAAACTTGGAAACTCTCAGCTAAGAATTTCCCCAGCTTCTGCAAGAGCTCTAACAGACTTGGAATCAGTTTCTAGAGCATCACAGGCATCGAGGGAAACATTGCGCACTACTGCCTGTACAGTCCCATATTACCTGAGCCAAAATCTCTCTTTCTCATCATGTTGAAACAGAAGGGGGAGAGGAGCCAGATCTGTAGGTCACGCTGTAATACATCAGTACATATCCTCGGATGCTGAGGGGGAGAGAACCCCAATGGTAAATTCCTCCGTCATGTATGTTATAGATTTACCAGAAGAGAGAGAGCCCCGATTAGTAAAACAGGGTGAGAACTAAGGGATGAAGGCTGTTAGCCCACTTAAGGTTAAGGGGGTTGCAAACAGAAATCAGTGAATGAATTGGAAACCCACCCACCATCGTTGTTACAGTAATTGTATAGGGCAGAACTTCCTTTAAAAATACCAGTAGTAGGGCACAGCACTCATGATAAGCCCTGCACTAACAAACCAAAGGTCATAGCCCCACACTCTTGATCAATCCTCAAGTAACGAAGCAACACTGACAGTCTTGTACTCCCAAGCAATCCCGCCTAAACAAGCTGCACAGCCTAGTGCTCTTGCAATGGTAAAGCAGTGGGTGTGAGCACAGCGAAAGAAACATTTCAATTTCGAGTTCTGTGAGGTTGATCTAAACAGCTGTGGGTGAAACAAAACTATTGTGAGAGTTCTGAATGCTGAAGTGATAATGCCTGGTTAACCAATTGGCCAGTCACCAGAAAGGACAAAAATTTCACACGGTACATTAAGAATGAGATTGCACTGTTAATTTCACCGATAAAGATAATTGGCCACATGTTCTCCCACAACTCTCTGGCTTTTAAGGACATTATCACTGTGATCTTTTGGACACTGAGGGGTGAAGGATTTGAAAAGTTTGGGGGCAGTGAGCTGCATTCTGCATGGCCATATAGAGAGTCAGCTTCAATTCCCAGCTCTGGGCTGGCTGGAGGGAAACCCTTGTTTCTTGACCCTTGAGTCTCTTCCTGCCAGTGTGACATGCTGCGGGGGCTAGGAGAGAAAAACTCCTTTCAGTCTGGTGGACTCAAAGGGCGTGTGGAGAGAGGGGAAGGAGTGCATTAAGGGGTGGGAGGTGTTTATCCTCCCAGCTCAGTGATGGAGGGAACCATCCTAAAGATTCATAAATGACAATTCTTCCATATTATGGCGTTCTCTTTCCAATTGCAGCCAGTATCTTACACGTATCAAGACATGGTTGAAGCTACCAGTGCGAATGCTGCTGTGCTGAGTTGAGCTGATGTCCCCAGGCACCGTGGCCCTCGCAGTGCCACGGCTCCTGGGCTCAAGGGATTTTGAGATGGGCCATTTTACTTGATTTTTATTGGTTTTACACATGTAACCCCAAAGATTGTGGGAGTGCCCTACATTACTGTTTAATGTAGTTTCTACCTGGGAAATGTACTTTAAAATATGATAAGTGAAATATAAGGTCAAAAGGAACATTCCTGAAGTGACCCTATGAAAATAGTATTAAAATGTCCTGTAGGTATTTAAAATCAATATTGAAATGTTTTACCAGGGCCCTCTACCTGTAGTTACAAGAATGGATCTACACTGCCAATAAGATTTGTTAGGCCTTTACATTTTAAAAATGTAGCTCCTCAGTCTATATTACATGGCGGTTGTCTCCAGCTATATATATAAAAAAATCCAATAAAGAAATGTCTCAGTTACATCGGAAACAATTTGTGTTTCCCTAACAGAAAAGGTGCTATATTCTGACATTATGTTTAAAAGGAGGAGTGGAAAAAGCGCCTGATTGCCATAAAAAGAGTTAAATGAAGTGCCTGGGGAATGTTTGCGTGGGCTACATTCTGATGCTGAGTGTAAAGGTGATTCGGCCCAGGAAACGATCGTTAGTCACATCATTCACAATTCCTTCCCCATTCAGTCTGCACTGAATGGGGACAAAATCATTCTTCTTCACATCTGTGAAGTGCAGAGCCACCAGGGGGGAGGTGTAGTTGACCTGAAAAGAAGAGACAGTAGATACGGACAACTGCTGAGAGGGTAGGAAAAACATCAAATACTCTGTGCCACAGGCCGTGGAATAGTGTTCAGAAAAATGGGCCTGATCCTGCAGTGGTGCCAATTGGCTTAGCCCTATGGACTCCACGAGGACCAGGGAAGCTGATTTGCACCAGGCTGAGGATCTGATCCAGTATGTCTGAAAAGGATGGGGACACATTTGAGTTCTCTAATACAATATTCCTCACGGATCAATTTGTTACTATTCAAGCCAGAAGCCGTGATAAGTAGGGAAGACTAACAAGGTTATAAACTACTTTCTGCCACTTTAAATTGTTGCTCCTTTGTCTGCAATAATAATAAAGAAAAATAGTCATGCTCCTTGTGATCAGTATGCCCAATGTACATGCTCCTGGGAAACCAAGGTCGGGGCATGCAGCTCACGTTTCACAAGGGAGCTGTTATTTGCCCTCACCTACATTCCATCTGTTTTTCACAATGGGAATTTTGTTGACCCTACCTCTCTCTGTCTGAACTCTTATTTTGAATGCATTCTGCTCACCTAAACCGCCCTGCGCCCAATCCTGCAAATAGAATCATAGACGTGTAGGACTGGAAGGGACCTCACTAAGTCATCTAGTCCAGTCCCCTGCACTCAAGCCAGGATTAAGTAATAATTAGCCCATTCCTATCAGGTGTTTGTCTAACCTATTCTTAAAAGCCTCCAATGATGGAGATTCCACAACCTCCCTCAGCAATTTGTTCCAGTGCTTAACCACCCTAACAGGAAGCCTTTGCTAATGTTCAACCTAAACCTCCCTTGCTGCAATTTAAGCCCATTGCTTCTTGTCCTATCCTCAGAGGTTAAGGAGAACAATTTTTCACCTCCCTCCTTGTAACCACCTTTTATGTACTTGAAAACTGTTATCATGTCCCTCTCAGTCTTCGCTTCTCCAGACTAAACAAACCCAGTTTTTTCAATCTTCCCTCATAGATCATGTTTCCTAGACCTTTAATCATTTGTTGCTCTGGACTTTCTCCAATTTGTTCACATCTTTCCTGAAATGTGGTGCCCAGAACGGGACAAAGTACTCCAGATGTAAATAGGCCCATTAAAAACTAGGGCTGACCTTTTCAAAAGTGGTCACTGATTTGGGGTAGCTCAATTTTTGTCTGCCCAACTTGAGCATGTTGGTCACCACTAAGGAACAGGCCCGTACACATTCCAAGTTGGGCACCCTAATGCCAAGCCATCCCAAATCAGTGTCCACTTTGGAAAATGTCAACCTATGGTACTACTGCTGTCAGCACATTGAATATGACTGAATATCATTGAATATCATGCCCATTTTACAGATGGGGAAAATGAGGCACACACGGTGATCACACAGCGAGTCAGTGTCAGAGCCAGAAATACAACACAGGAGTCCTAATTGCCAGCCCCCACCCCACTGACTACTAGTTCACAGTGCCTCCCTACTGGGTTGTGCTTTCCAAATAGGTGCATTTTACAAACAACCACTCCCGCCCCACTCTTTCTCCGAGGAGAGATTAAAGGGAAGCCAATAGAGTATTAGCCGCCAAGTTTCTACTTACGTGAGTGAGCTTGCCATAGTAGGGATAGTACATGAGATCAAATGTTCCATTGCCTGGATAGAAGTCCACTGATTTAAGAGCACTTTCATCGCCTTTCTGTGATTAAAAATAGGCAGGTGTGTAGTATGAGGGCAGTACAGTACAGCTCCCCTCAGATCAACAACACAATGGGGCTTTGGCGGGCACCTCTGGAGAGCCCCAGCACAAAAGGACTAGGTATTTTGTCACCTATTTATACAGAGCACGTTTACTGATAGAACCAGCTGCTGCTGGAATGATCAGAGAACAAGTGCGCATAACGAGCAGGACAAAGGTCATGTTTGCCTCCTATAAATCAGTCTCTATGCTTCACTGCCTCATCATTACTAGCTAAGGGCCTGGTCTAACTCCCACTGAAGCCAGTGGTAGTCTTACCCAGGCCCTGAGTGCTGGGTCATGGACAGAGAGGGGGCAGTCTCAGTCCCTCTCTGTCTACGGACCTGCTCCTAGGCAGGGCGCAGCTGAGCACCCTCTGAAGTGGCATCACTGGAAGCTGGAAGGGCTCAGCATTCCCCACGAGGTGTTTGGGAGCTCACACAGGATCAGGCCCCAAATGGAGAGCTGCAGGATAATACTTAGCACTGTCCACCTTCACAGAACTTTACAAACCTGCAGCCCTCTCAATGTTCTTAATGCTGGGGCTGGTGAAACATTTTGGGCCAAAGTCATCCCAGGTGTAACTCCATTGCAATTCATCACCAAGCGGGACTGCGGGGGTGAGGGGGTAAGTCTCTTTCTGCAAATAACACTGGACATTCGTGAAAGAATTACCTGAATGGCACAGTTCACGCTCACAGGTGTCCCGTAGCCAGGTCGATAGCCTATGATCTACAAAAAGAAAAGTCATTCATGCTTCTATGAGATGCGAAGCCTGGCCTGTGATATCCAACCAATATCACCTGCCCACTCCAGAGGTTTCTCTCTCTCCATCTTAAGCTTATGTATCTGATCATATTGCATATGAATGCAAGTTATCTTGGAGGCATTTTCTGCCATCAGCGCATTATGTCATTCACCCCAAAGGGGGTGCACATGCCTACTTGTCCTCCCTATGGGCCTGAGCCCCCAGAACTCAGGAATGGAGAAGACCAATAGACTCTCTGCCCCTTCAAGTTGAGGCTATACAATGAAATCTGCATGAAGGGCCTCCACCCCCAAAAGACATCACTTTAAAAATTTCTGAAAGTTTTCCAGTATGATGTTCACCCTTTAAAAAAAGAGCCAGGTCTACTAGGCAACCAATTTTTGCTGTTTCCTCAAATGGCTGCTTGACCCCTGCTTGATAGACAAATAGAAGCATACGTATTGACAATTACTACACTGATCACAATCAAAAGGCCAACCCTTAGTTCTTCAAAAGCTTTTCCAAGCAGCTGATGAATTATCTTGACATTTATTTTGCCAGCAACATACCCTTTGATTCTATTGTATTTGCAGATTTCCGATTATGACTGTTCTTTAAAAATGCACAGTTATAAAGAGAGCATCGTGTGGGTCATGACCTCAGAAAATAACTTAATACCCAGAAAGAAATCCCGGCAAAGAATTACTTTCCTGTAGCCTATTTCTTGACCAAATCAAGGTACAGGGGGCTTTGCAAATTTTCTTTGACAGAATGTACCCGCCTGGGAATGGAGCTGCTGTTTTCCACCTGATATGGGGAACTGATTTTAGAGCTGATTTTACTAGCTCAGAGAATTGGCCTAGTTTCAAACCCAGCGTAATAATTAATTTATAGTACTGCCCAAAGAGGGAATTAAAATTAATGGATTTTTTTGTACCCGGTTCATCTTCAGCAAGATGCATGGCTGGCCTTTAGAGTAGCCAAACGTGGGATCCTCAATCCCAGAACAGTTCTGCAATTGTGATCGCTTGAACTGGCAGGCTTTCTTCTCCTCGCTTTCCGCTCCGTCTTGAACAAAGTACTGGCCTGCTGGGCACTCAATGTTCTTTTCCTCTTGAATGTTGTCATCATAAGCTAAGGTGAACCAAGAGCTGCTGGTTAATGCTTTTCGCACTGTCACGATCTAGCCAAATATCAAGGCTGCAATTGTCAAAGGCACCAGAGGGAGCTGGAAAATCCCTTCCCAAAAGACAAGGTTTAATACTCAGTTCAGCAGAGTATTTCCATGTATGGAAACCTCACAGACAGAAGTAGGAACATAGGTTTTTATGGCTTAGTTTGTGCTTCACCTTTTCTTCAGACTACATTCATATTTATTGCAATGACAACTGAAAGCAAAGGGGCTGGACTTACTGCTCTGCAGTCTACTAAGGAGCAGAGTCAAGGTCTTCCTAACTGCAGGCTTGTGATGCTGGCAAGCCTTTCCCTGTCCTATTCTCCCATCCTTCTGGGGGTCCCGCGTGGTTTGTTTTCTTGCAGTTTGTTTTGTCGATGGGGGGGGCCATCTGCAGGGAGACGAGGCCTGCGCATTGTTAGCAGGATGCCATGGCAGGAGTGAAAAGCAACACTGAAAACTTGGAAGTGAAAGAAAAAGCCGGGAGTAAGAGGAGTGAACGGCCAGGTTCATTTCACTCCGAGGAAGCTGCCGAAGTGCATTGCAGGATGTTGCAGGAGAAATCATTAGAAAGGGGCATGTGTCCGTCCCCCGTCCCCCCGTCCCCCCGCATTTCCTGTGTGGCTCTGCCCAGACTTGGACATGCTCATTGTCATCTCCTAGAGCCTTTATGACATCAGCTCTTTTGCAAATGTCACTGAGCGATCGACACCAGTTTAGGTTACGTGATGTGTGGGTTGGGCACCACCTCATTCATGTTGCCCAGTGTCTGGAGGGCTTTTTACTGTTTATAAAAGGTAACATAAAAGCTACTAGAACAAAGTTATATAAAGACTGTGCTTTCCTTAAAGCTCCAACCAGTTTACCTTGTAGGAAGTCATGCATGCTGTTCACATAAGGCATCCATGTGCTGGGTTCGGAGACACTGAAGGCAATGTTAAATCCATGTAAGTATGGTCTAATCATTACTCCTGGTAAATAAAAAAGACCCTTGTTGTATTAACCAGTCATGGAGATTCTGTTGGCTCAAGTATGTATGTCCAAGGGGTTAATTTGGGTAATTCAGATCAATATTTATTATTTAACGTTGCATTATTTCATTATTTACTTATAAGACTACGTTTTAGTCATGGGTATTTTTAGTGAAAGTTACGGACATGTCACGGGCAGTAAACAAAAATTCATGGTCCGTGACCAGTCCATGACTTTTACTATATGCCCCTGACTAAAAGGGGGTCAACGCCACAGGTCCTGGGGGGTCGCCACGGGTGCTCGGGGGCAGGCGAGATGTGGCCCAAGGGGGCACCATGGGTGCTTGGGGGGGAGGTTGGGGGGGCTGGGGCAGGCTCCCTCTCCCTACCTGGCTCCTGGGAAGCAGCAACCGCAGCTCCTAGCTCCATGTGCTGCCTCCGCTCCACCCCAAGCCCCAGTTCTCCAGCTCCCATTGGCTGGGAACCACAGCCAATGGGAGCTGCGGGGGCGGTGTCTGTGGGCGGAGGCAGTGGGTGGAGCTAGGAGCTGAGGGAGGGGAGTTGCTGTTGCTCTTCCAGGGAGCCCCCCCCAGGTAAGCACCGCCCTGTACCCCAAGCTCCAGTCCTGAGACCCCCACACACCCAAACTCCTGCTTCTGGGTGGGGTGAGGTGGGGGGGCCCCAGACTGCTCCAGCAGCAGGCGGTGTGCCTGGCCCAGGGGCTGCCTGAGCTGCTCAGCAGCCCCCTGGCCAGCCGCACTGGCCGCTGAAGAAGTCATGGAGGTCACAGAAAGTCACAGAATCTGTGACAAACATGGAGCCTTATTTATTTAGCATTTATATTGTGGTAGCACCTAAGGGCCTGTGATGGGGCATCTGCCCAACACTGGCTCATAAGGGGTTAACAGAGCCCTATGTAGGCTGTGCAGGAGGCAGCCAATTAGAGAGGGCCCTAGAGAGGCTGCAAGGAGCAGCCAATCAGGGCAAGGCAGGTCCATATAAGAAGTTGCTCCCTGGTGCTTGAGGAGGGAAAACTGGCTGCCTTGCAGAAGAAAACTAGCAGACTGGACAGAGCAGTGCTGCTAGCAGCATCCAGAGGGAGCTAAAGACAGCTCCTGGTCAGCTGCAGGGATTCGCAGGCTGAGGCCTTGGGGCAAGGGTGAAGAGGGTGCTGGGAGCCGCGGGGAAGAGGTCCAGGGAAATGAACTAAGGAGTCGGAGGGGACACAGCAAGTGGAGGCCGTCTACTAGGTCCCTGGGCTGGGACTTGGCGTAGCGGGCAAGCCCAGGTCCCCCCCACCCCTCGCCACTGAGGAAGTGGCCAGACAATTGGCTCCAGTTGCCACTGAGGGAAGTGGCTGGACAGTGGACTGCAGTTCCCCCAGAAGGGGGAGAACAGATTGTGACATGGCTGGAGGGCTGTATCATGAAGAAGATGCTGCGGTCCTGGGAGTGATGTGGGCCCTGGAGCTATGTGAGCCCTGGAGCAGAAGTGATGGCAGTGAGACACCACCAGAACAGGGCGCACTGGCTAGAAGAGCTAATCCCTGGGACAGCCACCAGGAGGCGCTGCAGTGATGAGTGAATCTCATCGCAGGGCCACAACTAGGTTCTGTCCTGTTGTGCTAGGTGTGGTAGAAGTACATAAACAATTAGGGTGCTGCCTTGTGAGTTAGCAAATGAATTTAAGCTTCCACCTGATTTCATGGGGAGGGTTTAAGACGAAGAGGCTGATTTTCCTCTCATTAGTTTTACACCAGTGTAACTCCTTTGACTCAAGGGGGTGCCTTCTGATTTACCACAGCAAATGTGAGAGGAGAATCAGGCCTTTTAGGACATGCCTGTTCGTGGTCACCATTAGATCTTAGCAAGGCAAGGGGAAAGTGAGGACACCTGGTGTTTCAGATGGAAACAGACAAGCAGGAAAAATATATTTTAAAAAATGATTTAAACAGTGCTTACATTTCATCAAAAAAGAAAAAAAGATGAAAAAACAGCATATATATTCTGTATCATAATTGATTATAATAATCATAGTTACTGGTTGCTGACTGTGGGCTTGACATTGTGCAAACATACAATAAGTGTAAGTACACTTCCTGCCTCCAGAACTTACAATGTAAATTACTGATCATTTTACTGAGCTCCTAGAAATGGATGTGAATCCTCAGCTTCTACCAGGAGAGGCCAGAGTCCCATTGAAACACACTGGGCCAGATCTTCAGCTGGTGCAAATGCATGCAGCGCCACTGCCTTGCTTTACGCCAGCCAAGAATCTGGCCCACTGTGGAAAATTAACATTCCGCAAGTTCTCAGGGAAACAACCGCTGTCTCTTTGGCTGCATCCTTCCACGTTAACACATATTACTCCGGCAGGTTCTTCTCGATGCTCCTTACCTTTGAAAAGGCTGCTCCAGGCATGACAAGAAATGGGTAGTTTTAATCTGGTCTGCGGAATCTCACGTTAGATTTCTCCGTTGAGGAAATGGAATGGCAGCTACCTAACTAATGTACTTCCAGGAGCCGCAAAGACAGAACTTCTGTGTAGGTGACTACCGAGACCGTTCCTACAGTCGTAGGCCAGCATGGGGCTCAGAGGGAAGTCAGGGAATGGCTGAGCTGAAGGGCTTACCTGGCGGCGAGACTCTGTCCCTGTACGTAGGCGTGTAGGGGCTCAGAGCAAGCAGCAACCCGTACATACAAAAGGAGAACATCCCAGCCAGAAACGTGTACAAAATGAGGTAAAATAATAAGATCAAGCCTGCAAGACACAGAGGACATGTCTCTGTTAGCGCAGTTGCTAGCCCTTCCACCCTCACAAAGAGCAGGCCCAATCACCCTTCTTCACGTCTGGTATTTGCTAACTCTGACGGGAGTCTTTCATTAGAGAAGTGACTTTCCCAACCCAAACACCCTCAAACTTTGGGAAAGTTTGGATCAGACTGTACTTCCCAGCCAGCCACTATCTGCAACTGGCCCACACAAACCATGGATCTGAATGCTTCCGGGTGCAGGGAAAGTTCGGATTATGAGCTATATCCATCTAATTCATGGCTTGGCCCATCACAGTCAGAGATGGGTCTAAACAGGATCTACATATCCACATTCCTAAACTGGATCAAACTGAACCCAGATCCCACCCACAGCAGCTTCAAACCCTCTCTGAATAGCAACGCTGATGTCATAGACAAGAAGAGGCAATGAATAGGCAGCCTCTAACACATTTTTGAATTCCTTAGGAAAACTCCACAGATAGGAAAATTGCCTCCCTACCCATCCCCACAAATCCCACCATCAGCTGTTCGACATCAGGAACCGAATGGCCAGGGAACAATGCAAATAACATTGACTTGAAATGCAGCTGCTCCGCAATACACTTTACACTTGGCTATTTCACAAGCCCAGTGTCCAGAGAACAGTTGTTTTTTTTTTCCAGGACCAGACTGACGGTTGGGGTTGTCTCGGGAGAATAAAGCCTATGAATAAAAACCAGTGGTTCAGAAAATAAAGTGAAACTATAACACAACCATTTCCCAGGGGAGCCGTGATTCTGCTTGCAGAACAAGCCGTGAGAACACAGATGTGCACTTTCACCTCTGCATTCTCTAGGTGTTTATGTTTGGTGGAATTGTTAATGATGGGAACTAAGTGAAAAGGCAAATTCAACAGAGGACCGAACAGGAGCTCAGCAGTGGGGCTACAGTGCAGGGGGGCTACAGGGGAGCTCAGGGGGCTACAGGGAAGCTTGGTAGGGGGGCTACAGGGGAGCTGAGGTGGGGAGCTCAGTGAGGGGCCTACAGGGGAGCCGAGGTGGGGGGTCTACAGGGGAGCTGAGGTTGGGGGAACTTCTGTGGAATTCAGGGCCCTCGTGGAGGAAGCTGTGCTTAAGCTCTGGGTTCTGGGACAGAGAGCAGGCTCCAGCCATGGGGAGACCTGAACAGAATTCCTGGTTTTCTTTCTGGGAGTGCTGCAGAGACAAAGAACTAACCCCCTGGAGAGGACATAGCTGTTCAGCAGCCACCGGTCAAGGTCCCTCTGCGCCGGAGAGGAGTAAAATCACAGAAATCCTGGGTGGGTGGGCCAGGAAGCTGCAGGGGCTGGGGGTGGGAGCGAGGGACGGACCTCTGTGTGGTACCTACTGCATGGCTGCTGAGAGAGGGGCTGATGGGAGCTGTGTCATCAGGCAGGAGGGGGCCCAGTGAGTCACCAGGTACCTCAAGATGTCCCCAACAAGCTCTCAGCACAGCCATGCTGGTAGGGAGCCATGGCACCTTCTCATGACCTCCTCTCCAAAGGGGGCAGTGCCAAGGAACGCCACAGGCCAGATTCTGCTCTTGGTTACACGGGGCGTATCCAGTCACTCCACCACCGTCAATGGTGTACTCCTGTGAGCCTGATTCTCCTCCCAGTTACCTGGCTGCGCGACCCAGGTGACTGCACTGACATCAGTGGAGTGCGTCAGAGCTGAAGCCAAGCGGCTGCCGGCCCTCTCCCTCCCCTCTACCCGCAGGCTCTTCCACGGGAGGGGATGGTTTTAGGCCTATGCTCCCAATTTATCTTGCTGTCCTAACCCTGCCTGGCACGTCTGATCATGCAGCCACTGCAATTCCCATGCCGACTTGGCCCATTTGGATCATAGTGCTGCTAGGTTTTTATTATTATTATTTATTATTATTCAGTTTTGCTTTGGCAAACGCTGTGCAGAATAGTACCACAGAACTAGCCTGGGCTCTTGCAAATCCTCGCCATAACGCACAACAGCCAGCAAAGCATCCAGTGCTGCCTGCTGTTCAGGAATGACGAATGCTTATTAAAAAAAAAACAGACTCTTTGAAGATCGGCTCATCCGCCTTCATCGTCATGTACGCACTGGGAAGCCGTGCTGGCCCTGGAATACTCCCTCCCTTTCAGCTGGTGTTCATGCAGGATATGAAAGCTTCGGCCGATTCCTCATTTAGCGTTCATCATGAGGCACCTTCATTTTAAAAGTGTGATGCCTTGTTAGGCGCTCAAATGCCCAGCTCTGGGAAAACCTATTCAGCCTGCTCGTGTGAGCAGGAGAATGGGGTGGGTGTAGGTGCGCACACTTGTGTTACCAAAGGTTGTACAGCACTGGGAGGCTGAGGACCAAATAAACGTATTGGTAGAGAAAAGAAATATGGGAATGTCAAGAATAGTTTAAGCATGGCTGGGTTCTAGAACCATTGTTTTTAAGATATTTGGATCATTTATTATATATTCAACCCCCCGAGTGCATTCATGATGGAAAGGGGAGGCAATCCAGCATTGTTAATTAAAGGTTTTGACCGGAGAAGCCAGCACCACTGTTTTGAAAATTTTCAAAAAGTGAGTGTTTGATGCTCCAAGACTCACTGGAGCTTTGAGTTAATTCCCACTGAGACGCAGTAAGAACTTGCAGCTTCCGTCAATGCATCTGTCCCGGCTGGGTATCTACACAGAACTGGCTAAATCCACCCATAAAGCCCTGTCCCAGCACACATGGGACCTGGGTAAAATCAGCTCTAGATGCTTTGAAGACCGTTTCTCCTGTGCTTCAGTTAATCCACAGTCTGGATGTGGAACACAGAAGAGATTTTTACTTGATTTTATATCTGCCACAGGAACAACAAAACCAGGTTCCATGCATGGCCAGAACAACACATGTATTATGTGACAACACTGTAATGCCACCCAAATACCTTGAGAGAACCTGCTTCAATACGGAAATAAAACCCCCTCCAAACGCACACCCCTAGCGATCACCTACCACCCCAAACTAGAATCTATATGAGGTATCATTAAACAACTACCACCCACACTTGATGGGGACCACATCCTGAAAGAAATCTTTCCCGAACCCCCTCTTCTGGCCTTCAAATAACCCTCCCAGCCTCTCCAAGTTCATCATCGGAAGCAAGCTCCCCACAGACCAGGACACACCAACTCAAAGCGACACCAGACCCTGCCAGAACAACAGATGCAAAATCTGAAGACATATCTCCACTGTTACAATAATCAACAACCACCCCCTCCACACACACACCTTTCAAGAGCCATGCGTCCTACACGTGCCTCTCAGCCACAACGTGTGGTGTACCTCATCCAATGCACTAAATGCCGCAATAGCAAGTAGGTGGGACACTCTTGTAGGAACTCTTGTAGTTCCACTCTTGTAGGAACTCATGCAGGAAAATGATAAAAGACAAAAACATCCTATCACCTGTGGTTGAACACTTTTCTCAGCACGATCGCTCTATCTGATCTCAAAGAAACCTGCACAACACCTTCAGAAGATGAGCCTGGGAGTTTAAATTCCTAACTTTGCTAGACACAAAAATCATTAACTGAACAAAGACACTGTATTTATAGCTTATTATAGCAATCTATAACCCACCAACCCCCGCCCTCAGCTTCTCTCCCACCCTCCCCATGACTGGAGAGGTATTAACGGGCCCCTTCACCTTGATTGGTCCCTTAAAAGATGTGTTAACTACATATCCTAAACAATCTGTTCCACATTGTATTTAGCTGTGACACTTCCCAGAGCTCTCTGTAAACTTGAAAGCTCGTCTCTCTCACCAACAGAAGTGGGCCCATAAAAGATATTACCTCACCCACCTTGTCTCTCTAATATCCTGGGACCAACACGGTCACAGCAACACTATAATAACGATAATTGACTAACCACAGACTCTTTGGCACTCCGCTCACTGGCTGGGTAGCTTTTGCAGCTTCTGTAAATCACTCCCTGTTTTCTCTTGCTTCAGCTGACTTCCCACAACAGGTCTCTTGGCTTAGATGAAGCCACTCACTGTGGACTTTGCAGGAGATGCTGAAAACTTGGCAGGAGGAGCAAACAAGTTGCAAGGCTTGTCGGCTCATTACCGTTGCCAAATGCTCAGTGCCGCCAAAATGTCTGTCCTTTGCTTCTTGAATGCAGTGCCGGGCATCACATTGTCTGGGTTCATTTTACTACTTTGGAAATTGACGAAGAACATGATTGGCCGTATTCTGCTGGTGTAAAGTCAGAGTTACTTGCTCTGATTTACTCCAGTGCAAAAGTGCTCATAACTTGAGATTCAGGCCCAACCATTTTCATGCTCATGAATGAGTTGTTTAAGTATAGGAAAACAGCACCACAAACGTCCCTCGCAATCTGAGTGCTCTAAGGATTGAGCATGGGAATGCAGCTGCAGCAGCAATAATTATGGGACTGGATGAGTGGCAGGTGTTCTCAGCCTACCACCTTCCACTGCCTGTTTTTAACCAGTTGCACATGGTTTGCCCAGAGTATAATTTTTAAAGGCCATGGAAAAGGCTGTCAAAACAAAATCCTAGCTTTTGAGCCAGACCCTGCTTCCCTCACTCATGTGAGTGATGTCGCTGATTTATTTAGCTACAGCCTCCACTCATCCAAAGGGATGGGCAGAAAAGTGTTGATCAGGTCTTGACTTTGCACCTGGCTGGCTTTGCTGCTAGAATCTGAGCCCTGGTGTGTAATTCTGATTCACTCTGCTTGGGTTTGAGCCCAGGGCAGGAAGCGGCTTTGGGAGAGTAGAGACTTTGGGAGTCTCCTCTGGCTTTCATCAGCTAAACATCGGCATAATGCCACCAAAGCCAAAGGAGTTGCTCTTTTTTTATGCTCCTGTAAATGTGAGGTGAATCAGGTCCATCCAATCTAGAGATACCTGTCTGGTCTCTCAATGGCACTAATACACCTACCGAAGGACTCCACAGTCTGCATATTGATCTATTCTAATCCAGGATCACCCTTCCCTGGGATATCTGGGCACCATTTTACACGCTAAGCCACAAAGATGCACAAGGAGCTGATCCAGTCGTTCGTGAGAATGACATGCTCATCAGAAAAGCCCTACATGTCCCCTTATTTCACCTAAATTGCGTACTCTGTCACTGTGAACAGAATGTGCAAATGGCCAGTTAGACCCGTCACTGGTCAGTGGTGCACTTACAAACCCAAGTGGTGTTCAACCATGATCAGGGTGCGTGCCATCTAAGTGTGCAGCCCTTCGCCTCCCTCCGGGGGGAGAAGGGGCGGTGTTCTTAAGCCAGAATGAAGCTACATGGAAGTGCGGCAAACATCACACACACACACACACATCCCCACCCCCATCAGCGCTGATCTGGAGAGGCTAGCTCCAGAGAGAGTGGAGCTCTGATCTAAATGCATGGTTGCCTAATTCAGTACAATGGCTCTCCCAGTTACCAGGGGAATCCATGATGTGAATAATGAATTAAAAATTCATTCCTATCCACTCACCGACGCCACTGGGGATTTATTTCTTGTCTAATTCTTTGTGTTTTTAATGCTAGTATGGGAAATTGCTATTAAAACACAAAGGTCAAACTCTGCTGCCCAGGACCTGTTTAACTGACAGCAGCGATTGGCCTTAAAGCTGCACCAAACTGTGTTGGTCTCAATTTGCCACATGAAAGGAAGGGAGCATGGGGCTGAAACAGAAGCTCAGGCCACAGAGCACGTGCAGGGCCAAATCCTGCTTCAGTTACACCAGTGTAACTCATCCGTACCTGATTCGGATCTCATTTACACTGCCTTTTAGATCAGTGTAACACTGTAATTCTATTAACTTCATCGGCGTTACACTTGACTTACACCAGTGTAAGCTCAGAAGGAGATGCATTGACGTCCCCGGGGATGCATGGGTATTGCAGGGCAGATCTTTGGTTCACTCCAAATAAAATCACTCAGCCTCAGACATCTCCTGCAGCACGTGTGCTCTGTTATGAGTCCTAGATTTACCTTAACCCCACTGTATGGTCACTAGGGCTGCAGATTTGTCACGGCATTTTTTAATCAAAAATCATGGAGCAGTCATGGGAAATTTACTAAAACTGCTGAGTTAGGGGGAATTGGTGTGTAAGTCCTGGGTATGAAAATTCAGCTATGCCTCTTTAACAATAATATACACAAATCCTTCTTCCGCTGCCTCCTCCTTCTTGCCCTGCCAGGGTGGCACCGACAATCTGTAGCAGCACCCTCTGCTCCGCCACTGCAAAAATCCCAGCCCACTGAGGAGGGCTTGCAGCGCCTCTCAATCATATTTTGCTGGCAGCCAGGCCAAACCTGAGTGCAACCCCGGGCAACCCTGGGCACTGCAACCCCGGGCACCAGGCCACAACATCCAGTGGAGAGTTGGGCCCAGTCCCACGGGATAGGAGCCGCCATTGTGGGGTGAATCGGTGCAGGGTGGGCCTGCTCTCCAACTCCCCTCCCACTGGAGGTCTCCCCTCTGCACCAGACCTGCAATTCACTTAGAACCTTCCTGCCACCCACGGGTGGGTCACGGCCCACCATTTGGGAAACTCTGCTTTATTAAAACCCCAGACACACAGAAAAGTCACGGATCAGCAGAAAATCACAGTATCTGTGACATTTTGCCACCATGGCAAACGTGCAGCCGTAATGTCAGCATAATATGTCTACCACAGGAGTAAAAACAGGGGTAGCTTCCCCATGGCTGTATGTTCTACAGGCACATTCACGGCTAGCATTTTACAGTTCTTTACTGAGCCACCTGTTAGATATATGTGTATGGGTCCAGGATTTAGATTACATGTGCTCTGCTATGCCATAGCAGGGAAATTCACAGTCAAAGAAAGAAAGAAAGAAAGAAAGAAAGAAAGAAAGAAAGAAAGAAAGAAAGAAAGAAAGAAAGAAAGAAAGAAAGAAAGAAAGAAAGAAATTCAGCCATTTAACGTACCCCAGCTCTGAGCTGTTCTTCCCATACATTCTTTCTTCTCTGAATTCCACAGGAAAGTTTTCATTTCTTGAATTACATCTGCCAAAGTTTTCTTCCCCATCTTTTCCTTGCACTTTTCCTGCTCGTCTTCAGAGTGCTGTGCTCTCTCTTCATCCTTGTTTTCCTGGAATAGTTACAGAACGCAATCCCCCCCCCCCCCCAAAATGAGTATCTCATTGGCCAAAAATAAACACAAGACTACTTAATATCTGGAGATGTTTCAAATTTCCATTTCCTATCCCCATCATCACGCCTGTGTTATGGAGAGGCATTTCTTTGGCTGTAGTGGTTTATAATCATTTAGATCCCAGTATTCAGTTTCCCAGGGCAAATATGGCTCTGCGGTCACACTGGACACTAGTCTCTCATCCTGATTCTCCCCTTTGTTCACAGTGAGTCTTCATTTCTAACCCATGTGAACACGATGAAAAGACGCACAATTCCTACATCTCTCATATGCACCTCGGAGGTGAGTAAATCCTTTCCTGGGTTGTGATACGCATCATGAGGTGATGCTGTTAAACAAAGTCTTCCAACTTCTTTTTCTTAGCATGCTAGTATGAGGGGACTGTTGGCCCCTTACTTAGTGGGGTTTTTTGGTTGGCCACCTCCCACTAACAAAAGAAAGGAAAAGGGCCAATGAGAAATCAGGAGCCTGAGATTGACGGTCCTCAGGGGGAATGGGGAGAGGCCAATGCGCCAGCTCAGCCTGATTGACAGGGCAGGCAGGTTAATGAGGGAGTCAGGAGGCCAGGGGGTCCAGTCCTCCATGTGGCAGCTGCCTGGGCCGGAGCGGGGTCGAGCAAGGGGAGAGCAGGGGCCTGAGCCGAGCTGGGGAGCTGGGCTGCACCCGCCAGGGCCAGAGGGGCCAGAGGAGCAGCCCAGGGAGCTGGAGGCAGAGCAGCAGCAGTGCAGAGACAGAGTGGTGGAGCTGGGGCTGGAACAGTCCGGAGCCGGGTGCCGTGAGCAGCTGGGGAGAGCAAGGGGGACCCTGGGCAGCAGGCCCAGTGCAGGGAGACGCAACCAGGCAAGAGGCCCTGCAGGCCAGACTTGGTGGGGGGGATCATAACCCTGACAGGGGGGCTGATGCTGGGAAGAAGGGTCCTGCATCCTAGAGCCTGAAGGTGTGTGGCCACCGCTAGAGCAAGTGTCCGACCCGCAGCATCCCTGCAGCACAGCCAGGGCTTGGGAAGGTGGCCTGGGCCGTGTGAGGAACAGACAGTGAACTGCTCCGGCATTCCGGAGACGGCTGTTTCCCCGTGCCCACAGAGCGGGGTTATGTGTTTTCCTTTAACCTGTCCCATTTTTTCCTGTTTTTTTTTAATTGGTTGCTCTTTTAATAAATTGTATTTGCCTTGAACTATATGCAATGATCAGTGGACACCCTAGCCCCTGTCCTAAGTGACCACGACAGAGGAGGCTCGAGCCCCCCTGAAATCCTGGGCCCAGCCTTGTCGGGGTTATACAGGAGAGAGGAAGGGAAGGTCAGGCAGGTCTCTGGGTGAAAGGAGTGGGAATGAGAACGCAGATTCTTTTGCTAGCCAATTCCACTAGGGTAGTGTATAAGCCAGGAATGTTCCCCACAATAGTGGGACCATACCCCCACTTACACTGGATTGAAGAGCCCATTATTAAACATTTGTTCCTCAGGTAGATATTTACAGATTGTAATCAAATCTGTAATCAAATTTGATGATTTAACTGGGAATTGGTCCTGCTTCGAGCCGGGGGTTGGACTAGATGACCTTCTGGGGTCCCTTCCAACCCTTATATTCTATGATTCTATGATTCTATGAAATCACCCCATAATCTTCTCTTTGCTAAGCTAAATTGAGCTCTTTGGGTCTATAACTTTGGGCACATCTACATTGCAATAAAAACCCCACGGCACCAAGTCTCAGAGCCCAGGTCAGTTGACTCAAGCTCGCAGGGAATGAAATCAACATCCTCTGCTGGGGAGCCATGGGAGCCAGGGCCACCATTTTTACAGTATCTGTTTCTCTGTCCCGATCTGCACAATTTGTATATGCAGGTGAGGCAAAGGGAGTGAAAAGCAGTCACAGCTTGCCACTGTGGGCTGTCCAGATCTAGAGGAGTCCCCAGTGGACATGGACCCAGCATAACCAGCTCCTAGGCCTGTCACTGGGCAGCCAGCCCCAGTACAGTGGTGTATCAGGGCAGGGAGAGGAACTGGCCAAAGCATACTGCATGCTGCCAATCCCCAGCTGGCAGATGATGATTACCTGGGGATGATTACCTGTTGGTGGAGTTTAGAACAGTCCACAGGCTGATCTAAATTCCCCCAGAGCCAGGCTGATACAGATCCAACTAGAAAGCCAGGGGATCAGAACTGCAGCAGAGAATTAGAACAATAGAGTGTATTAATGGTCTAAGCAGAGATGCCCTAATTCTGGGCTGTGTCCTGGCCCCTTTCACCACTGACAGCATATAAGGGCTGGTTTCAGAGTAGCAGCCATGTTAGTCTGTATCCACAAAAAGAAAAGGAGGACTTGTGGCACCTTAGAGACTAACAAATGTATTTGAGCATAAGCTTTCGTGAGCTACAGCTCACTTCACGAAAGTTTATGCTCAAATAAATTTGTTAGTCTCTAAAGTGCCACAAGTCCTCCTTTTCTTTTTGCATATAAGGGCTGTAAACCAGCCAGATTTTCCCACCAGGAAACACCTCCAGGGTGTGGGGTAGCATAGGGCATGCCCCTGGGATAGCATAGGTGCAGGGGCATGCCAGGGCTATGTTGGGCTAGGGAGGAGGGTGTTCTGAATATTCTGGGAGGCCAGCAGGTCCTATAGGGATTGTTTCACCAGGGCATATATTAGGGCATCCCCTGGGCCTGCTTTCATGTATGCTGGGGGCCAGACTTCCCAACGGCATCCCCAGAACCTGGCGGTGCAATGGTGTCCAGAAGATATCCTGCTCTCTTCCAGCATGCTATGATAGAATCTGCTTGGCCGAAGCTCAGAATGCAGGTTCCCATCTCATCGCAGTGCTGCAGGCCTGTTTTTCCTCGGAAGTGACATAATGCATTCCCTCAGAGAACTAGATACATGCATAGGTTAAATTGACAGCACCCCACACACCCCAGCAGAGAGAGACTTGCCCAGAGAGCTCTATCAGGACAACTCATCCATCCAAACCATGTTGCCCTGAGAGAGGCTGCCAGTCACTTACATAACCCCTTTGGTCTCTCTTAGGACAGTTTGTATTTTGATATATCATGTGTGTCTAGGTTACCTTATGTAAGAGAATCTCAGATGAGTCCATCCTGTTTAGACCAGTACTTTGCTGTGTGAACCCACAGAGATTCAGCATGGAATATGGCTTATGTGGATCAGTCCAGGTATTCCCATTTATGTATCCAACTCCTAGCTGCTGGGGCGTTCTGGCTCCCCACTCCCTGTTAATTGCTCCTGCCAGGGAGCAATTGTATAAGACAAACATCTGTGGTGCATTAGAACTGGGACATTCAGGGCTAGATTCTCATCTCAGTGACACCAGTGTACATCTGGACCTTAGTAGAGATGGAGTGATATCCTGGTCCTATCGACATTAAGAAGAGTTTTCCCATTCATTTCAATGGCCCTTACTCCAGATTGACTCTGGTGCAGCTCAGCTCAGAATCTGCCTTTCTGTGTCTCCTTAAAACCCCACTTTTGAAGCAGCGTTGGAAGAAGTGATGGTCAAACAGAAGTGGATCCAAGCCAGAGGTAGCACTCATTGTCCTAAATGAAATCACTTTGGTTCACTCAGGCTGAGAATCTCTTGTGCCCCAAACTCTGGGAGCACTTGACTTGTTTCCCTGGTCTGTTCTCTGTCCTCCCCATCCCGGCACATTGGCTCTCCACTGAAAAGGGCTAACCCCATCCCAGTTGCAGCAGGAAAAGCTTGACTTGTTTGCATTTTTCAGTCCTATTTGCTCATGTGGCTCGCCTCCCCCACTCCCCTTCCTGCAGGAGGTAACTATAGATCAACGGTAAGTGCTCGCTCTCTGCACTAGGGAACAGGAGCAAGAGCAATCCCTAAGGCAAAGTCACTATATTTATCACCCTCAGACGTGAAATGGGATCCCCCTTCTGCAACCCCCACTTCCTCATTTCTATAAAGGGCAGTTTGCAGTCCCCAAAAGACTCACCGGCTTCTGGTGGTAAATCTTACGCTGGCCTTCTGCACCTCCAGAGGTGGCATTCATTTCCATGACTTTGTGTAAAATGAAGAGAAATAGAACAATTAGTATGGTAAAAAGCCACGTCTGGGGTTAACGGTACAAGCTATCCATACAGTACGTGCCACCCCAGTACAGTGAGCACGCTCCCATCACTTATTCCAACTAACCAACAAGGGGAAGGTGCACAGAAAGCTGGCTCAGCCCTTAAATTAAATGTAAACGATGAGAGACCGCCGCTTATTCTTGTGAGCAGGCGCAAGCAGGGCCAGCTGGCACCTGTGGCTTTCATGACCTTGCAAAGAAGACTTGGATGTTCGAGAGGCGATCAAAAAATAACTCTCTTTTGCATGCAACAGGATCCTGGACAACACTTAAGGTTCTGTTCCACCTAAAGCCATTTGCACGTACAACACAGTCAACTGCACGGGAATCCCCAATAAGATAACCACTTAGGAAGCAAGTCGCCATCCCCTTGGTCTTTGGAGACTAGGAATCGCTTGATGAACAAATGGGAAGGCTGTGACTTAGTGGCTGAACAGATATGTCAATGTGTGCTTGTCAGTCATGGTGAACCCTGGGTGACTGCTTGCAAAGTCTCTTCAGGGGCTGGGGGAATCTATATTTATCACTTTGAATCAAGAAGGGCTGCAGCTAGAACTCTGCAGTGTCAGTTTCCCAGACATATATAACTCAAGAGTCAGTCCTGACCAGCTACAGAAAATCGGAAGAAACAGCCAAGAATGCCAGGCAGCCCCGCCGGGTTTCTAATTATGTCATGTTTCAGAGTAACAGCCGTGTTAATCTGTATTCGCAAAAAGAAAAGGAGGACTTGTGGCACCTTAGAGACTAACCAATTTATTTGAGCATGAGCTTTCGTGAGCTACAGCTCACTTCATCGGATGCATACTGTGGAAAGTGTAGAAGATCTTTTTATACACACAAAGCATGAAAAAATACCTACCCCCACCCCACTCTCCTGCTGGTAATAGCTTATCTAAAGTGATCACTCTCCTTACAATGTGTATGATAATCAAGTTGGGCCATTTCCAGCACAAATCCAGGTTTTCTCACACACACACCCCCACACACAAACCCACTCTCCTGCTAGTAATAGCTTATCTAAAGTGACCACTCTCCTTACAATGTGTATGATAATCAAGGTGGGCCATTTCCAGCACAAATCCAGGGTTTAACAAGAACGTCTGAGGAGGGGGGGAGTAGGAAAAAACAAGGGGAAATGAGGTTACCTTGCATAATAACCTAGCCACTCCCAGTCTCTATTCAAGCCAAAGTTAATTGTATCCAATTTGCAAATGAATTCCAATTCAACAGTTTCTCCCTGGAGTCTGGATTTGAAGTTTTTTTGTTGTAATATCACAACTTTCATGTCTGTAATCGCGTGACCAGAGAGATTGAAGTGTTCTCCGACTGCTTTATGAATGTTATAATTCTTGACATCTGATTTGTGTCCATTTATTCTTTTACGTAGAGACTGTCCAGTTTGACCAATGTACATGGCAGAGGGGCATTGCTGGCACATGATGGCATATATCACATTGGTGGATGTGCAGGTGAACGAGCCTCTGATAGTGTGGCTGATGTTATTAGGCCCTGTGATGGTGTCCCCTGAATAGATATGTGGGCACAGTTGGCAACGGGCTTTGTTGCAAGGATAGGTTCCTGGGTTAGTGGTTCTGTTGTGTGGTATGTGGTTGCTGGTGAGTATTTGCTTCAGGTTGGGGGGCTGTCTATAGGCAAGGACTGGCCTGTCTCCCAAGATTTGTGAGAGTGTTGGGTCATCCTTCAGGATAGGTTGTAGATCCTTAATAATGCGTTGGAGGGATTTTAGTTGGGGGCTGAAGGTGACGGCTAGTGGCGTTCTGTTATTTTCTTTGTTAGGCCTGTCCTGTAGTAGGTGACTTCTGGGAACTCTTCTAGCTCTATCAATCTGTTTCTTCACTTCTGCAGGTGGGTATTGTAGTTGTAAGAATGCTTGATAGAGATCTTGTAGGTGTTTGTCTCTGTCTGAGGGGTTGGAGCAAATGCGGTTGTATCGCAGAGCTTGGCTGTAGACAATGGATCGTGTGGTGTGGTCAGGGTGAAAGCTGGAGGCATGCAGGTAGGAATAGCGGTCAGTAGGTTTCCAGTATAGGGTGGTGTTTATGTGACCATTGTTTATTAGCACTGTAGTGTCCAGGAAGTGGATCTCTTGTGTGGACTGGACCAGGCTGAGGTTGATGGTGGGATGGAAATTGTTGAAATAATGGTGGAATTCCTCAAGGGCTTCTTTTCCATGGGTCCAGATGATGAAGATGTCATCAATATAGCGCAAGTAGAGTAGGGGCTTTAGGGGACGAGAGCTGAGGAAGCGTTGTTCTAAATCAGCCATAAAAATGTTGGCATACTGTGGGGCCATGCGGGTACCCATAGCAGTGCCGCTGATCTGAAGGTATACATTGTCCCCAAATGTAAAATAGTTATGGGTAAGGACAAAGTCACAAAGTTCAGCCACCAGGTTAGCTGTGACATTATCGGGGATAGTGTTCTTGACGGCTTGTAGTCCATCTTTGTGTGGAATATTGGTGTAGAGGGCTTCTACATCCATAGTGGCCAGGATGGTGTTAACAGGAAGATCACCGATGGACTGTAGTTTCCTCAGGAAGTCAGTGGTGTCTCGAAGGTAGCTGGGAGTGCTGGTAGCGTAGGGCCTGAGGAGGGAGTCTACATAGCCAGACAATCCTGCTGTCAGGGTGCCAATGCCTGAGATGATGGGCACCCAGGATTTCCAGGTTTATGGATCTTGGGTAGTAGATAGAATATCCCAGGTCAGGGTTCCAGGGGTGTGTCTGTGCGGATTTGATCTTGTGCTTTTTCAGGGAGTTTCTTGAGCAAATGCTGTAGTTTGTTCTGGTAACTCTCAGTGGGATCAGAGGTTAATGGCTTGTAGAAAGTGGTGTTGGAGAGCTGCCGAGCAGCCTCTTGTTCATATTCCGACCTATTCATGATGACAACAGCACCTCCTTTGTCAGCCTTTTTCATTATGATGTCAGAGTTGTTTCTGAGGCTGTGGATGGCATTGTGTTCCGCACGGCTGAGGTTATGGGGCAAGTGATGCTGCTTTTCCACAATTTCAGCCCGTGCACGTCGGCGGAAGCACTCTATGTAGAAGTCCAGACTGCTGTTTCGACCTTCAGGAGGAGTCCACCTAGAATCCTTCTTTTTGTAGTGTTGGTAGGGAGGTCTCTGTGGATTAGTATGTTGTTCAGAGGTGTGTTGGAAATATTCCTTGAGTCGGAGATGTCGAAAATAGGATTCTAGGTCACCACAGAACTGTATCATGTTCGTGGGGGTGGAGGGGCAGAAGGAGAGGCCCCGAGATAGGACAGCTGCTTCTGCTGGGCTGAGAGTATAGTTGGATAGGTTAACAATATTGCTGGGTGGGTTGAGGGAACCATTGCTGTGGCCCCTTGTGGCATGTAGTAGTTTAGAAAGTTTAGTGTCCTTTTTCTTTTGTAGAGAAGCAAAGTGTGTGTTGTAAATGGCTTGTCTAGTTTTAGTAAAGTCCAGCCATGAGGAAATTTGTGTGGAAGGTTGGTTTTTTATGAGAGTATCCATAAAATTTGAGCATTTGCTCAAGAAACTCCCTGAAAAAGCACAAGATCAAATCCGCACAGACACACCTACAAGATCTCTATCAAGCATTCTTACAACTACAATACCCACCTGCGGAAGTGAAGAAACAGATTGATAGAGCTAGAAGAGTTCCCAAAAGTCACCTACTACTAACCCAGGAACCTATCCTTGCAACAAAGCTCATTGCCAACTGTGCCCACATATCTATTCAGGGGACACCATCACAGGGCCTAATAACATCAGCCACACTATCAGAGGCTCGTTCACCTGCACATCCACCAATGTGATATATGCCATCATGTGCCAGCAATGCCCCTCTGCCATGTACATTGGTCAAACTGGACAGTCTCTATGTAAAAGAATAAATGGACACAAATCAGATGTCAAGAATTATAACATTCATAAAAAGAAAAGGAGTACTTGTGGCACCTTAGAGACTAAGGTGCCACAAGTACTCCTTTTCTTTTTGCGAATACATACTAACATGGCTGTTACTCTGAAACATTCATAAACCAGTCGGAGAACACTTCAATCTCTCTGGTCACGCGATTACAGACATGAAAGTTGCGATATTACAACAAAAAAACTTCAAATCCAGACTCCAGGGAGAAACTGTTGAATTGGAATTCATTTGCAAATTGGATACAATTAGCTTAGGCTTGAATAGAGACTGGGAGTGGTTAAGTCATTATGCAAGGTAACCTATTTCCCCTTGTTTTTTCCTACTCCCCCCCTCCTCAGACGTTCTTGTTAAACCCTGGATTTGTGCTGGAAATGGCCCACCTTGATTATCATACACATTGTAAGGAGAGTGATCACTTTATATAAGCTATTACCAGCAAGAGAGTGGGGTGGGGGGAGGTATTTTTTCATGCTTTGTGTATATAAAAAGATCTTCTACACTTTCCACAGTATGCATCCGATGAAGTGAGCTGTAGCTCACGAAAGCTTATGCTCAAATAAATTGGTTAGTCGCTAAGGTGCCACAAGTACTCCTTTTCTAATTATGTCATGTGATCCCACTACAGGCTCGATGGATGAGCATGTTACTTTCAGGGCTTCGTGAATTATGGGCATGACCAGGGCTGTCCTTAGGCATACGCAGCAAGTGCAGCTGCCTAGGGCACCACAAAATTTGGGGAATCAAATTGCCCCAAATTTCATGGTGCCCTAGGCAGCTGCGTGCTGCATACATGGCAGCACCAGCCCCGGCGACCAGCCCTATCCCTCGGCTGGCCCCCCCGCAGGCTGCGCCCACTGCAAGGGGCTGGGCCGTCCCTAGGGGGATGTGGGGCTCCGGACAACTCCCTCTGCCAGGCCTCTTACCCTTCCCCCCCTACTTTGCCCCCGGCCTGCCCCCATTCCAGCTCTTCCCCCAGCGACCCCACACTCACTGGCAGTGGCGGGAAGCGGAGCAGCCCGGCCCCAGC